CAGGAGGACGGAGGGAGAGAAACAGAAAGAAGGATGTGAAGGGGATCTACAGTGCTTGTCAGAATTTTTTCCTAACTGCAAAGGTACACCGTGGAAGAAGGGAGGAGCTCTGGCCATTTTGGTGTGGTGGTGATGAGGCTATAAATACTGCAGTTCAGCTGCGGAATGACGCAGATATGATTTGAGGGCTTCACTTGGGAGTCTAACTTCCAGCATTTGAATGTGCCAACAGGCACATACATTTTTAGGAAGCAGCCTGTTTGTAAACTAGGAACTGTGCACGCACACAGAGTTTGTTTCACGATATTAAGCAAATCTAATGTTTAACTACTATAAGTAAAAACTGGAATTCTCTATATTAACATAGATGTTCATGTAACTAGAATATAATTTTAAGAATAACCTGAGAGTCTACAAAACCTGAAGTGCCTGATAAAGTCATAAAATAGATATTACATTCATTTCAGCATTAAGGACCTTATATTATTTCATTGATTAATCTTTCCATGTTTCTAATCGGTATGAGCCCATTCCCTTGTATTTTTTCTTTTAATATTATTTCATGCACACATTTCCATGACATTTTTCGTATATTTAATACATAGTAGAACATCATATTAGTATACCATAGAGAATTTTTTTTTTGTCTATTTACCCATTCATTCACCAAACATTCCAGGATGCTAGGTAGTAAGCATGCATCCTAAACAATAATAATCCTATATAATAAGGAAGTAATATGCAAATTGACCCTCATGCCCTTACAAGATGGCCGCCAAGACTAGGCCAGTAGTGGGGTTAGTGAGGGACGACCAAACGACTGAACAAGCAGTCTGCGTGGGGCGACCATGATGGCAGGGTGGCTTTTATGGATGAATAATATTCCATTGTATGGATAACACTACATTTTGTTTATCCATTCATTGGTTGATGGATATTTAGATTGTATTTTGTGTTTGTTTGTTTGTTTACTATTATGAATAATGCTGCCCAGGCTGGTGGGGGGGGGCAGTAGGAGGCGACCAGGCCAGCGGGGGGTGGGCAGTTAGGGGTGACCAGGCTGGTGGGAGGGTTCAGTTGGGGGTGACTAGGCTGGCAGGAGGGGCAGATGGGGGCAATTAGGCTGGCAAGAGTGCCAGTGAGGGGCAACTAGGCCAGTGGGGGGACAGTGAGGGATGATCAGGCCGGCAGGGCAGGGCAGTTTGGGTTGATCAGGCCGGCAGACAGGTGAGCAATTAGGAGCCAGCAGTCCAGAATTGTGAGAGGGATGTCTGACTGCCGGTTTAGGCCCAATCCCTGGGATCGAGCCTAAACCAGCAGTCGGACATCCCCCAAGAGGTCCCGGATTGAAAAGGGTACAGGCTGAGCTGAGGGAACCCTGTCTCTCCCCCTGTGAATAAATTTTGTGCACTGGGCCTCTAGTAGTAATAATAATAATAATGATAATCTACTTATATAAAAACCATGGGTGGTGTTCGTCACATACAGACAAACAGCAACTGAGTGGAAGGAAGTCAGTCCTATGGGGGTTGTCCTGGCAACGGCTTCACCCTCCCCTAAGTTGTTTCCTGTAAGGGCGGAGTTTGAGGCAGGAACCCGCCCTGGGAGCTTGAGGCAGATCTTTCTAAAGTGTGCCACGCCAGCATGGGGTGAACCTGAGTGGGGCAGCTGAAAGGCTTATAAAAGACAGATAAGAGAATGAAAGCCGGGTCTCAGTGGGACACTGCCCCTCTGATGGACAGCACCAGTACCCATAAGCTGTGTCTTTATTTTATAGCAGATGCCACGAGGCAAAGTAGGGGCGTGATCAAGATGTTTGCAACATTCTCGTGGGTTTCAATCTTACTC